AACAATAAAAAAGATATTATAGGATTTGTATGAAAAACCCCACGCTATGAGAAACACCATGAGAAGAGAGTCAATTCAGTGGACATGAAAAACTAGATTACACTAATAGAGTTGAATAAGTCATTTCCCTGAGTGTATGCTGCTAATTGAGTCCACCCTTTTGAGGATCTCTAGTGAATGATCATCTCAAGTCAATAGTGAATACACGATCCAACTCCATTGTGAGTTGGTAGGAGGGTTCAAGGGGATATTGCCACCTTGGTAGAACTTGAAATAAGGGCAATTACGCCTTTGGTCCCTAGGTGGTCGCCCTAACCCTGCCATATAAGTCTTTATGGACCCACTCATCACTGTTGCTTTGTTGCACTGTTGATAATGAGTTTAGGTTCTTAACCCAGAAATGTGGAAAAGCATTGTGAGAAAGGTACCAAGTTGAAAAATCCCTTTCCACCACCAACCTAGCATTTGGGCCCTCATGCACCAAAATTAGTTTGGTTCTGAATAGAAGTGGAAGCCCTGGCTTTCGAAAGTGTTGCTTTAAAGGTTGAGTGAAGGGATGATACGCAAATACTTTGAAGAAAGAAAGACCACAAAAGCACTTTATAAAGGGGCGTCACTGCACTATTTTTTAGCTATATGAATGCTGAGCGATGCTTTTCAACCTTGGAATTCTTTTGAGGGTCTGCCAAAGAAGGAAATGTTTTTTATAGTCCTCAAGCCAGATTAATGATGAATAGTAGTGGCTCACATATCCTTCAATTTGGCAAGAAAGAGTCAAGTCACATATCTGTAACTGACAAAAAAGGTGGCCCATGGCTCTTTTAGTCTTCATCAAATAATTTAGTAAGTCAATGATTCTATATCTTGGAGACTTCTCAACTACATCCATCACCTTTTGGTCAATGGGTACTTTCAAGTCGCCTACAGACTCTTAAAGAATGAAGGTAAAGGCGATATCATATGAAATCAGTGAAAAAGGTGAGCCACCTTTCCATATTAATGTTCACCAAGTCAAAGAGTTCACGTTATTAATTTATCGTTTCCAGGGACTCCATTAATTGGTCGATATGTGGTGTATTCTAGAATTGGGTAGAGTTTAACACTCACACACCTATTTTTCCCAGTCACACTCTTTGTATGTCTCTATTTGGAAACAATGCTAGTGAAACTCTAGTTGAAATATCTAAATAAAAGGCTACTCAACAAAAGAGAGATCACAAACAGACTTTCTAAAACTAATGAGAGAAGCTGCAGCCTTTTTCTATTAGCATTTTAATGAACCTTTATTTTCTATTTATTTTTTTCTCATATTTCACAAATAGCAATGCTACTTGGCACACATCATCATCCATTTCCTTTTCATAATAGATTAAAAAGTCCCTAAAAGTTGAATACCTCTTCACTGGGTTCACTTACTCATATGGCTCTCTTATACTGGTATCAAGGATGCTCAAGATAGTCACCAATATTTCCATTTACCTCTGAAGAATTGAAAGATACTTCTCTCATATTAGTTTAAAGTTGGGGTGAACCTTGTGTCTCATTTTAAAATCAAACAAAAGATGATCTTGTAGAGACAGTTAAGAGTGACATATCAGTCCACTAAGAGACGTCTTCCAATACTTTTCCTCTCCCTTTTTGCTTTATTTTAGGGACTGGTTTCAGGTACAAAACTTGTCACCTCCCTTTCTTAAATGGAGAATGAAAAGAGACTCAAGGACAGAAAAAGAGAGAGAACTCAAGATAGGAAAATGTTTGGGGATATGACCATATTTAAGACTTAATTGGCTTGAAAATGGCCTAATACAGCACAGGAAGTAAGAGAGTTATTATTGCTACAATACTTCTTCAAAACTTCATATTGAAAACTTTATAAGTTTCTCATAGTTGCAATAGAACAAAAAAAGTTGCATACCATTCTGAATAGGAGATTAATTTCAAGTGTTATGAACTCCAATCAAGTTCAAATAATGTTAGAAATTATATTATAGATCAAGTGATATCTAACATCTTTGGCTGTCATAATAGATAATAATCAAATCTTGGCACGAATTAAGTTCATAGACCAAGCTTCTTAGCCATATAACTTCCTTTAACGCCTTAGTAAGTGCCATAAACTTCACTGTTTTAGTGGATAATACAATAATAGGTTGTAGTAAAACTCTTCAAATAACACCACATCCACTAACTGAAAATAAATAATTAGTTAGTGACCTCTTTTTATCAATATCTCTTGCAAGATCTGAATCAACAATCTAGTCAAGGCATCAACACTTCTCCCAAATTTTAAACATATAGTAAAAGTACCTTGGTAAGTACCTGATGACCCACTTAACTACATGCCTATATGTTTTACCTTGATTAGTCATAGAACGACTAATGGCTTTGACTACATGTGATATATCAAGACATGTGCAAACTATGCCATACATCATGCTGCCTACTATATTAGAAGGTGAAACATGTGACATAAGTTCTTTGTCTTTTGGGGTCTGTGGTGATAAGAAATTTAAAAGTTTAAAATGAGCAGAAAAAGGGGTGTTAACAAGCTTGACATCCCACATGTCCAAGCACTTAAGTACCTTCTCAATGAACTTAACTTAAGTTAAATATAATTTTCTCTCACCTTGATTATTTTTTATCCGTATTCTAAGAATCTTCTTAGCTACTCTCAAATATTTCATCTCAAATTCATTTTGAGTAAAGCTTTCAATCTACTGATTTCCAATAAATGTTTTGCTATCATGTTGTGAACATAAATCAACAAATAAATGAAGGAATCAATTAACAATTTTCTAATAAGTACAATTGTCAAATTTACTCCAAAGAATTCATGTTGTGTCTTAAATGCATCAAATCTCTTATACCACTACCAAGGAGATTGCTTAAAGCTGCATGTAGATTTTTGAGTAAATAAATATGATTATCTTTTCCGTAATAAGAAAGCCTTCAAGTCGCTGCATATAAATTTGTTCTTCAAGATTATAATATAGAAATGTTGTTTTGACATTTATCTATTTTAAATCTAGATTATATGATGCAACTAGAGATAATAGGACATGTATTGAGCTATGATTAACAATAGGTGGAAAACATTTACAACTAATCATGCCTTATATCTAACATCATCAACATGTTTAGTGCCTCATTTTCTCCTTGAAGAATCATTTTCAGCCAATGACTTCCTATCCTTTTAGAGCCTTTGTCAACTCACAAATCTGCTTTTTATGAAGAGATTCAATTTCTTTCTTCATAGAAACTAGCCACTTATCTCCATCCTCACAAGAGATATCATTTGATAATTTAGACGGCACATTGGAGTGTAAAGTCTCATCTACAATGGTCAAATATATAAGTAACCATATTTGTATAGTCATACTTGAATGGTGGTCTAGTATCTCTCTTTGACTGATCTTGGGTAAGAAAGTAATTCTGAGTTTGTAGAAATGTCTCTATAAGATGCATGTTAGGCATTGCAAGTTTTCTTTTGCTAGGAGTGCATCTTATGTGAACCTAAAATTTTAAAATCCACCTATTTTAAAGTACTATCATGAAAATTTATATTTTTTGGAAAAAACATCTTTTATCTAGGATGTAAAAATACAACTTCATGAAAGGTAACATTTCTCTCAATAAAAAGGTTAGGGGATTTAGGATCAAGAAGCCAAAACCTATATCCTTTGGCTCTAGAGACATAACTGAGGAAACTAAACTTCTTTGTCCTTAGATCTAACTTTCTATTATTAACATGGATATAAGTCAAATAATAGAAAACTCTTAAATCTAAATAATCAAGAGGATTATCTAACTAGATTCCTTCAATAATTTTTAAGTTGATGTCACATATTGGAGATCAGTTTATAAGATGGCATGTTGTGGACACCTCTTCTGCCCAAAAGTCTTGACTAACACCTACTTTTGAAAGCATACAACAAGCTCTTTCTCTAGAGTTTTGTTCAATCTTTTTGTGTCTCTATTTTGTTGTGGAGTTTAACTAATTGTCCTATGCCTATTAATACCTTCTTTTTTATAGGAATCATTAAATTTCAAGGAGCAAAACTAGTCCTCAAGATTAGAACTGCCATGATATCATCAACTATCACATCATTATAGGATGTCACATCATCATCATCATCAATGTCACATCAATAGAAACTACCACCTCATCCCTACTATTGATGTGTCATCCCCACATCAATGCATTGTTTGATGAATCAATGCCTCATTTTATTATTTATAAGTATCATTGTAATGACGTTTAGAAAAATAAAAGAATAAGAAATGATATACAATAATTTGGTTAGGATTAATCAAAATCACTCTATTTAGGGGATGGTCATGAGAACCACTACTACTCCCAATTGGAGCATGTGACTTGATGCACCTCCATTGCACATCCTATGAGTGTTGGCACCCTTCTTACCTCCTCCCCTTCACCCTCAAGAGCTGCCTCCTTCATCGCCACATTGTCCCATTCATTAGACATTGCTGTCTCCTTTGTTGCCAAATGTCATCTTCTGCTGCATTGTGACCACCAGTTGTCACTCTACTCAAGTTGAGTCCTCAATGTCCACCCCCTACAGTGGCTCTTGCCAATGTTACTACCTCCTCCTCCTACCTAAGCTACTGACACCTCCACTAGCACTGCTCACTCACCGTCACCACTTTCCACCTCCACAGCCTGCACCGCCACCACCTCGAGCCCAACATTAAGTCATAGTCGAAACACCCAAATTAGGGTTTTAACAACAACCCTTTTAAGGGTCTCACTTATTGGGTCCAACCCACCTTGACCATCTAGCCCAGTCACCCAAATCATTTGTTGACAAAAAGAAGAGAAAACCCTAGAATTAATGATTGAAGAAGAGGAGTACATGAGGTTATATAGAAGAAGAGAAGAAAGAGAGAGAAAAGAAAAAGTGGAGATCGTGGAGGAAGAATAGGGACATAGAGATAATAAGTCCAAATTGGGCCTAGTGGGCTTATTCTAACACTCTCCCTCAAGTTACAGTATACAAGTCATACATGCCTAGCTTGGTGCATGTTGCATCGTAAGAGATCCCAGCAAGACACTTGATGTGGACGTCTATAAGATGATGAGATGAGATAATGTGTGGAGTAAAAATAACATCTGACATTACCTTATCTCAGATATATTGACAATCAATCTTGATGTACTTCATCTACTCATAAAACATAAGATTCCCAACAATGAAGATGGTGTCTTGATTATCACAATATATAGGTATTGACATAGGAGATGAGATGTCAAGTTCTTCAATGAGTGAACTTAGCCACACTATCTCTCACGGTGTCTTGGTCATGGTGCGATACTCGGACTCAACACTGGAGCAAGATACCACTTTCTGCTTTCTAAAGCATCACGTGACAAGGTTGCTACCTATATATTTGCAATAACTAGTGATAGACTTGTAATCTCCCTTCTCACCAATATATTCTACATCCAAATAAACTTCAATCCAAAGGTGTACATGTCTTCAATAAATAAGCCCTCTCTTAAGAACTCTTTTGATGTATATTAGAACCTGTAAAGCTCCCTCCTAGTGAATTTGTCAATGTTCATACATGAATTAACTAAGGACATTAACTGTGTACATGATGTCGAGGTGAGTGACAGTGAGGTAAATCATCTTCCCCAACAACCGTTTGTATCGATTAGCACCCTTTAGGAGTAGAGATAACATATCTCATAAGCATGGACGTGCCTCCATAGGTGACGACTCTAACTTACACGTAAGTAGCTCAGTCTCCTAAAGCATATCAAGAGTATACTTTTATTGAGAGAGAGTGAGGTTGCCATCTTAATAGGCGATCTTAATTCTAATGAAATATCATAGAATCTTTAGATCTCGTATACTAAAGTGCTAATGTAGGTATAATTTAGTAGTTTGAATGTATACTTCATCACTTCCTATCACAAGAATGTCATCCACATAAATAATTAGGATGATAATACCAATTCTATTAGTCTTTGTAAGTATTGTGAGATCTACAAGATAGTGAGAATTTGAATTATACCAAAAAACTATTGAACTTGGTGAACTAAGTACGTGAACTTTACTTAAGTTTATAAATGGCGGTCATAGAAAACAAAAAAAGAAATAGGGTGTCTGGTGCATGCACATGTATCTTTGTAGAGAGCAATAGGAAGATAAAAGTCATCCACCCTAATGTTAGAAAAGACAACTAGAGGAGGCTCGTTGACAAAGAGTAAAGACGAATTTTATCCCATAGTAGAGGAGTCAAATGGCAATGAAGCCGAAGGTGTCTAAGGAGTTGATAAAGATGAAATTAGACAAGTAGACAAAGTAGAAGAAGGATTTGCAATGATCACCACAAGAGGAAAACTAGATGATGAAGATGTAATAGATCAAGAAGGAGTCAATGCTAGAGAGAAGAAGACAGATTCCTCATAAAAAGTAATATCAGTTGATGTCATATAACGATGAGTATCAAGAAAATAAACCTAATAACTTTTTTGTGTCCGTGAGTAACCAACAAATATCCCTTTGAAAGCACAAGGGGTTAATTTAGAAAGAGAAAAAGAGTAGTCTTGAATGAAAGCAATGCATTCAAAGACACAAGGGGGTAAGTAAAAAAAAGAAGAATCAGATGAAAGACAATGAAATGGAATGACCCCACCAAGTAGAGCGGAAGAAAGCCGATTCTATAGATACGTGGTTGTCAAGAGAGCATCAGACCACAGATAATGAAGATCGTTCATTTCAATGAGTAGTGTGCAAGCAATGTCAAATAGTTGATGATATTTAAATTCGACAACACTATTTTATTAAGATGTGTGTGGACATGTGGTCTAATAAAGAATATCACAATCAATACAAAATATATAAAGTGAGTTTTAGACCAGCTCTAAAATATTGTCGATATGAAAAATCTTGAGCATAATAGAGTACTGAGTGATAACCTCAATAATAAAGTGAACAATTATAGTGTGAACTTAGATATAATTTTAGAAAAGATAGACCCAACTTACTCAAGTATAGTCATCAACAAAGACAATGTAGTAGCAATGACTTGAGATAGACAAAGTATGAAATAGGTCATAAACATCATAATGAATGAGGTCAAAAGATAATATGGATGGAACTCGTCTTGACTTGGGTATGAACCACAATAGTGTTTGCCTAAATGACATGACTCGCACACAAATTTATTAAGAGAAAGCTAAGATAAGGTTTTTTTAAAAATTTCAAAACAAAGATGTTCTAAACGACGATCCTACAAAATAGATGAAGTGGTTATAAAGGAAACAAAAAGAATTTAAAGGCCAGAAAAAGGTTCATCAAAAATTAGCTCACATCCATTCTCATGCCCCAAACCAATCCTCCACCTAACATACAAATCCTAGAAGGTACAATGAAAAAATGTATATATAATAGAGCAAAGGATGGCTTGAGTAATAATACTGATAGGTAAGAGGTTAGTAGGAAATCTAAAAATATAGAAAACCTGAGTGAGATGAACACTTGGGGTAACAATAGTATTTTCATGTCCGTTAATTGAATAAGTTCGGTCATCGGCAATGATAACCAATAGATGATGAGGGGTAGACTAGTATGATAATAAAATAGTGGGTGTGTCGGTCATGTGAGTGGAGACCTCCAAGTCAATAATCCATGGTAAAGATGAAGATATGAGGAGAGCGTGTATACTTAAGGTGGAAAGATTCAAAAGCGAGGCCAGATTGATCGAGAAATGCGTCATGGTACCACTAGAGTAGTATAGTGCTTCATACTCAGTAGAGGTCAATGTCACCTGAAATATCAAAGACAAAACACTAGATGGCACCATAGAAGTTGGTGAAAGAGGCAAGAGAGCCGGTTGAGCAAAGTTGGGCTTTCCAAATTGTTTCCAACATTTGTCTAGCATGTGGTTTTACTTGCCATAGTAGATGTATGGAAAAAAAAAAAATTGTATCTTTCCCATATAGTAGATGACCACTATCTAGTCTCGAAGTGTGAGGGTCATGTGGCACTCAAGGAGTAGAGACAACCAACATCGAAAAAGTAGATGTGACGCTGACTATAGTAGGAGTGTTTGTACTATAGCGGAGAAAATGTGAGAGATATTAGGTACTTATTCTAGAGAGGATTGTCCCACGAATCTAAGAGGTAATCGATGAGTAAAGTCCACTTAGATAGACTCTGATAAGAAACTCTTGATGGTAGTGCTCGAATGTCTAGAGGTCAATGATCAAAGGTTGATAGATGGCAAGTTCTTATATTAGGGCCTAGAGATGACCAAAATGAGCCTAAAGTGAGGAGTCATCTTACTTGCAGGCAAGAAGCAACTTGAAGATCTCGACCGTGGAACTAATATTTGTCTGATTAATGTACATGTTCTCTAATGTCATCTAGAGTTGTTGTGTAAGACAAATTCGAGTGAGAGGCTCAGCAATACTCAGTTCAATGCTCTAAAGCATCTAGGGAAGGATGGCTGAATCGAGTTGAGATCATAAAGTAAAGGACAGATCAATGAGGCTGGATAGATTAGTCAACAAGTGGTGGAGAAGGTTGTGCAACGTAAAAAGGTGCTCGAATCTAGAGGCCCACAATGCATAATTATATCTATTGAAGATATATGCCGGTTGAAAGAGTCACACTGTGATGGAGTGCTATGGAGTAGCCGACCTAATCAAAGGAAGAGCAACAATTGGCTAAAGAACTGGCCGAGGATGTGCTTAAGACATTGAAGATTCGCCCACTAGATCCATAGATCAAGATTAGTGGGAAATGAGATGACACTAGGAGGGGATGTCATTGCGTGGGGTGCCAGAATGTGACGCTCAACTAGTCGGGAGGCAAAGTGTGGGGGGGGCGAGAGGCAGCACACAAGGTGCTAGGAGGCAGCATGCGGGGCATCAGGAGGTGGCATACAAGGCACCAAGAGGCAGTGTGCAGGGCACCTACAGTCGGTGCATGGGGCATTGGTGGGAGATGATGCCATCAGGTGCACAGATGCAGCAGCACACTAGGTAGGAGTGTAGGATGGTGCTGGGAAAGCCCTGAACATGCATGCAGGTGCATGCAGCAGGCGGCACAGTAGGCCTATAGGGCTACGCACACCATGCACCAGGTTGGTGCACAAGGTGCCGCTGTAGGAGATTGCGTCAGGAGAGGATAGGGGACGCCAAGAGAGGAGGAAGAGTAGTGGTGGTGTAGAAACCCTAGGGCTTTGATACCATATTGACAAGAAGAAGAGAAAACCCTAGAATTAATGATTGAAGAAGAGGAGTACATGAAGTTATATAGAAGAAGAAAAGAAAGAATGAGAGGAGAAGTGGAGATCATGGAGGAAGAATAAGGACATGGAGAGAATAAGTCTAAATTAGGCTTAGTGGGCCCAATGAGCCCATTCTAACACCATTCAACCTAGCCACCTGACCTACCAGCCCACCATGACTATTCAGCCAAGCCACCAAGACCATCCAACCTAGCCATCTATCCCACTAGTCTCGACCATCCAACCTAGCCACCTGCCCCACCAGCCTAGCCACCTTGACCATCCAACCCAACCACCTTGACCTACCAGCCCAGCCAACTGAGATCACACTAGCCCAATAAGCTTATTAATGCTAAGGCCATTCCATTCTCTCAACCCATTAATTAATTTTAGGCCCATTAAATGACCCAAGTCAACCCCACCAAGCCCAACCCAACGAATTATCTTGCATCACTTCTATTGCTTAAAGTACATAAATACTTTATTTCTATCCTTAAGTATGAACACCAAAATTTCAAGAAAAAATCATCAATAAGTGAGAGAAAAAAACAAACACCTCTTTTTGAAGGGACAAAAGGGCCCCAAAGACCTAAGTGGATGTAATGAAGTGTACCTTTGGTCTTGTAAATTATTGTTTGGAAATTGTCTTTCTTATTATTTCCTAAGATACAATGTTTACAAAATTTGACTTTACCAATACTTTGTACATAAAGCAAGTCTCTCTTGCTCAATAGATCTACTTCCTTTTTGTTCATATGTCCCAACCTCATAGGACACAATTTGTGACATCTTCTTCAATCATAGAGGTAGATGCTACTATGGCTGAACCAGAAACTATGGCCCCTAATAGGGCGTAAAGGGTACCACACTTGTTCCCTTTATCACAACAAGGTCTTCTTTTTTTTATTTTCATAACCTCATTTGCTATACCAAGGGCTCTTCGAATAAATAGTCATAGTCATTAGCATCAAGAGTGCCCAAATGAATCAGATATTTTCTTAAATCAAGAACATGTCTAACATCATGATGGAGTCCCAATGACTTCCAAGGCTCTACCGTAGTCTGAGGGGTTTCTCACATAAGAGAGAGAGAGAGAGAGAGAGAGAGAGAGAGAGAGAGAGAGAGAGAGAGAGAAAGAGAAAGGGGAGGGAAAGATGGGATGCACGAGATAAGGGTAGCCCAAGCTAGGGGCGGTGCCGCCATGCAATGTTGTCAAGGGAAACTTGGACAGAAGCAGAAGGAGAGGGAAGGTCAAGAAATCCCTTCGAGGGAAAGTGAGACAGCTAGGGTCATGTACCGGTTTTTGCCTCCCAATCAATCCTTCTTGTGTTTATACCAAATTGGGATAAGCCCTCAGTGGGCCTCTCAGACTTCCATTTGGCCATCCATCTCCGGGTGGTATGCTGAATTCATCTTGAACGAGGTCCCTTGGAGTGCATGTAACTCCCTCCAAAATGCGCCAGTGAAGACACTCCCTCGATCAATGACAATAGATAATGGAAACCCATACAAGTGTACAATGTCCCTGGAGAAGACGGCTGCCACGTCTACTGCCGCAAACATATGTTTAAAGAGAGAGAAATGGCTGTACTTATTGAGATGGTCCACTACCACTAGGATCGAGTCAAATCCTTTGGACTTCAGAAGGCCCTTGATGAAGTTCATCGATATATCCTCCCATATGTAGTTTGGGATGGGTAGTGGTTGAAAAAGGCCTTCTGGAGAGAGACATCTGGACTTGAAATGAAGGTAGGTGGAGCATTGATTGATATGCATTTTGATGTCTCCTTTCATGCCCGACCAATAGAACTATTGCGAGATGTGATGGTAAGTCTTCAGAAACCCATTGTGCCCCCCCAAGGCTCAATCATGAAATTCTTCGAGCAATTTTGGGATGACTGTGGATGAGCGGGGTAGAGCCAATCGGTCCTCGAATCTTAGCAAGCTATTGTAGAGTGTATACCTTTAGTTGTTGAAAACTCCCTCTTGAATCTCCTGCATAATCTTGGCCAGCTTAGAGTCAGCCTAGACCTCCCGTTGCGTTGTTTCCAAATCCAACCTTGAAGAAGTGGATACAACACACAATACCACCTCCTCTTTGGTGGGCCTTCGAGACAGTACATCAGCCGCTAGATTTTGGCGCCTTTCTTTGTACTAGATTACAAATGAGTAACCCATAAGCTTGGCAATCCACTGGTGGTATTGTGCATGCACTTCCTTCTGCTCGATCAAATATTTCAAGCTATATTGGTCTGCCTAGATGATAAATGTCTGAAACATCAAGTAATGCTTCTATTTTTTGACTACCATAATGACTGCAATGAGTTCTCGCTCATAGGCCAATCGGATACAATCTTTGGAAGAAATAACTTTACTATAGAATGTTATGGGGCGCCCTTGTTGCATCCAATATTGCACCCACCCCCACACCTGAAGCATCAGTCTCGAGGGTAAATGGTTAGGAGAAATCAGGGAGTACGAGTACCGGGGTCGAGCATAAGGCCTGCTTCAGCTCTTCAAAGGCTTGTTGAGCTGCCTCCAACCATGCGAAGGCATCTTTCTTTAGGAGTTAAGTGAGTGGCCATACAATCTTTATGTATCCCTCCATGAAGCGGCAATAATACTCAGCCAACCCCAAGAATCCTTGCAATTGTCTTAGGTTTATCGGCGAAGGCCATGTTTGTACATCTTGGATTTTATTTTGGTCAGTCGCTACTCCACCTGGTGATATCTAGTGACCCAAATATTTCAGCTGCCCTTGATAGAAAGAGCACTTTTGAAGTTGACCATCAGCTGATGGTCTTGGAGAAGCGCCAGTACAATCCGCAGGTGAGCCTTGTGATCAGTCGCTGATCAGCTGAAGACCAAGATGTCGTCGAAGAAAACCAGAACTGAGCACCACAAATATGGTCAAAAGATGAGATTCATCAATGTCTGAAATGTAGAAGGTGCGTTAGTCAATCCAAAGGGCATCATTAGGTACTCATAGTGGCCCTCGTGTGTTCGGAATGCAGTTTTCTGGATGTCCTCCCTACGCATGCGAATCTAATGATACCCAAACGAAGTCCAGCTTGGAGAAGAGGATGGCCCCGTAGAGTTCTTCCAGTAGCTCATCACAACCGGAATAGGAAAATGGTCCGGTACGGTGAGTCTATTCAGGCCGTAGTAGTCTACGCAAAAGTGCCAAGAGCCGTCCTTCTTTTTCACCAAGAGGGCTGAGCTAGCAAAGGGGCTGTAAGAAGGTTGGATAATCCTGTGCGCCAATTACTCTGCTACAAGTTGCTCCAAGACATTCTTCTAAGGATGTGAGTATCTATACGGCTGCTGCTTCACTAGTGTTGAGCCCGGTTGCAAGATGATGGCATGATCAAGGGGCCTAGGTGGTGAAAAGATAAATTTGTCAGAGAAAACCCCAAGAAAGTCATACTCTAGTGTCCGAACAGCTGCTCCATGGGCCTCGGTTGCTAGCACCGGCATTGTCCACAGCGACGTATAATGGAGGTCTCCCATCTTGGCCATATTCATAAGGCTTGTGGTTTTCCATTGACGTGGTCATTTGCTCGTTGACGGACCCCCCCGCAGCATGTGTTACATACCTTCTACACATAAATGAATCAGGAGAAGGTCATAGTTGGTGGTGATCCACCCCAGTGTCCGAAGCCATTGGACTCCCAAGAAGATCTCCACACCTGCGTCAACCAATA